CTTGGAGGAAAAGAACCCTGCCCCCAAAGAAGATAGAGGATTATTTCCCCATCTCTCTGCATTGTCACTGGTGGATTTTGAGAGTTCCTTTGACCTTGGACCTGCAGTGGCTAAGGCTATTCAATGCCAAATTTGGTGTTGATTCATTTTGCCATCAGGTTCTAAATCAGTGATACTTAGTGGCTCAGGAGCCACATCTGGTTGCTTCGACATACTGCCTGTTGCTCTTCTGGCACCCTTCCCATGTTACAGGAAAATAAGCAAGCCCATTTCTGCGTGTGGCTTGTGGTTAGCAGCTGGTCCCCACCTTGAAACAGCTGCTGGATCTGGAGGACTGCATCATTATACTGAGAGGAAGGGAAGCTGTGAGCCTCCCTGAACTGCAGGCCTCATACCATGAACAGAAGTTAATGGGCCCGTCCTCTACAATGACCCCTCACCTTTCTCTGCAGCCTTGGCATTCTGATCCTAGCACCCAGGTGGCTGCCAGGAGAGAGTACAGCAATCCCCACCAAAACAGTAGCCACCCAGGAAAAGAGCAACTTGGCTACAGCGGGGTGGTCATGATTTTATTCCCCTTTCTCCACAGCCAACTTGGTCTCCTCTGGGAGCCTTGGCAGTCTCACTCACCTGAGCTTCTGGGCCTCATGCTGAGGAAAGAGAGTGAGGCGGCTGAGAGGGACGCCCCTCCCATAAGGGCTGGCTAAAGTTCAACAGCAGTGGGGAGAGACAACCCTACATACTCAGAAGTACTCTGAAAATTAAAAAGGATATATTTAATAGAGTAGTTATACTTTACATTATAGCATGTGTGTACTTGTGGGGTGTGGTGTACCAGGCATCCAGTAGTCCTGTGGCTTTTGTGGCTGATGGTCATTGATGGTTGTCCACAAGCTGCAGAGTGAGTACCACCGTTCTAGATTCTCAGCAAGGTTCTTGGAAGGGTGCTTAAGTGGCCGTGATGACATTGGACTTCTGCAGGTCTCGTTCTCTCCCCCTTTGGCTTAATAAAAAGAGTTCTTACCCGCAGCCTGCTGTTATCCGGGTGTTGGCGGAAAGTAATTAAATGAGCAGTTGTAACAGAGCTCAAAGGGCCTGAGGAATGAGGGGATTTTAATCAAATCTGGAGGAGCAATTAATAAAAAGCTTGTAACCCTTTAAGGCTGGCTCCTGCTGTCGGATTAAGATGAGTGGGTTATGGCCAGTGTCTGGAACAGGGACAGGCAATGAAGAATCCTCTGAGATTATCTTAATCTCCATTGTGCCCAGTTACTTGACGAAGACTGTAAGAACTGGATAGGCCTCTGGGAACGAAGATGCTGATGTGAGAGGGTGTCTTGCCTTCAACTGTTGGAAGACTAGCTTTTGAACATCATCCCTAACATAGCGGTGTGTTGCAGTGAAGGCTGGTAATAATGCTGCCAGTAAATAAATAAATTTCAGCACCAAAAAATCCCGACTTCTTTGCTCAGGAAAAAAACAACAACTATGCAAACTTTGTAATTTGCATAAGTCTGCTTTGCATAGTACTTACAGTGATCATACAGCATCTGTTTACAATTTTGAATGCACATCTGTTCAGCGGAGCCTAGTTTGGCAAAGCAGAGACTGGAAATCCATGATGTGACTGAAGTGGCACATAACAGCTGAACTGGGAAGCGAAGACACAGCAAAAGGACTGCGTGACCAAGATAGACACATATTTTTAAGGGATCATTGCAAAAGAACCTGTAAATCATGTCTGAGGGTCATAATAAAACTCATTATTTTATACATAGAATATGGATGGGAAACAAAAGAAAGTACTTCTTCACTCATTGAGGAATTACTTTGTGAAATTAATTGCCATCTGATGTAGTGATGGCCATGAGCACTGATGGCTTTAATAAGGGAATTATACAAATTCATGGAGGATAGATAGCTCCATCAATGGCTATACCCACAATGATTTCTCTCACATAGTTCAGTTATTACTTATGGAATGAATTCAGGATTTTCCCCAAAACGTTGCAGTTGGATTTAAAGCAATACTGTGTTTGATGAGACTGATAGGAAGTGGAGGACTTGGTTAAAAAGTTAAGCAGCCTGTTTTTTCCCACCAAAACAAACACAGGTTACAATCAGTATCTCATCCTTCTGCAGTGTGGAAATGAAGACATGGTAGGACAAATGGTGGTGAATATGTTTTAAAATACACCAAGCCAAATACAGCTCATCAGCCCATTTGGTAATCCATTAAGGGCTCAATAAACTTCCTTTTTTGTTTTGTTTTGTTTCCTGTGCACAGGAACTGTGGATATTCAGGAGAGGTAGATGGGTATCTGTCCTGGCTGATAGGGCTGTGTTGAACATGAGGAGAGACATTTTTAACAGGCTTGCTTTAGAGTAACAGCCTTCCTGAGGATGGTACAGGTTTGGGATGCTATAAGAAGTGGCTGGCTATCCTCATTTGAATTGACTGTGGAGGAACAGGTTGTGCTGGATGGTTTGGCTTGTCTGTGGGACGTTGGCTTGTTACAAAAATCACATAAATCCTTCTCCACAAAGAAAAAGGGATATCCTGCTCCTTGTGTCCTTTGTGTCTGTCACAGACTGATTAGGTTAAAGACTGATGACAATGGAAGACAGAAGATTAAGTAACTCATCCGTCTAGGAAACTGAAGAAGTCTGTGCTGTAGCTGCTTGAAGCTAGAGGGCAGCACAGGAGCTTTGCCGATGCTTTGTGTACATTCCAATAATGCAAAGGGAGGATGTGAGCCCTGGAGTTTAGCTCGCAGCTTTGAAATTACCAAGTTTCTGCTCATGCTTGTGGGAATGTCTCAGGACGAGACAGGAACAGTTTCTGTAGTTCTGTTAACCTGTGTGGATGATTTTACTATGATATTTCTGTTCTTGTTAAATGCTTCACTGTGTTCTGGTCTAAACCTCTGTCTTGGGTAATTAAATGCACTCACTCACACGTTAGTTTATGCTCCCACGTCTCAAAAAAGTTATTTCTAAGATAACGTTTTAACATTTAATATTAAAATTATCTACTTTGTGCCGGATTGTCTAAAAGCTAGATTTTATCACCATTGTAGCTGGCTATTGAAATAACAGAGTTGTGGGTACTGCTACCATAGAACACATGGGGACGTTTCTTTTCCCCCTCCACCGCAGAAGATTTTACCTACCTTGTTGCCCTGCAAGAGCCTATGGACTGTAACTATAAGATGGACTGTACAATAAGTGTGCCTGGGATTGGACTGTGCAGAAACTTTCACAGAACTGGGTCAGATTTGGCAGTCAAGCAAAAACCAAAGGCATAAGACGTTTTTGAGGTGATCTCACTTTAGGGATAAGAAGAACAAGGAGGAAAGAAGAGTCTGTATAAAAACCATATAATCAGAATGTAAGGACAAGGTATACATCACATCAATGTAGGCAAGCTTTTTTGCCTGTCCCGTGCAGGTGTGTGTGTTTGTGTGTGATGTGCATGCTCATTGGTTGGTGGCAGCAGTGTAAGAGAACACATTTGCCTCCCTTCAAAACAGGTATGTGAATACGGTAGTATGCTGAGGTTTTAAGGGCTTGGATGAAATTTCGGCAGGTCATCTTTGATGGTGTTTGATTAATGAACAGTCCTCTTAATTGCCATGTCTAGACCCTTGAGTCCTGAGAGGGTTTCTGCACGTGGCCAGTCCCCAAAGATGTCCAGTGAAGTGTACAGAAGAGATGTTACCTCCTCCGGGCTGTCTGTGGAAATGTGTTGGTTATAGGCAAAAGAGCTAAGCCTCTGTATCTGTGTTTTTTAATGGTGCCATCTTGAGAGCCTCCTTATTCATAACAGATCCTTTTGTCGAACTTTGGCATTTTTCTGGGGCTCTGTTAAAGAGCCAGTGGGCAGAGTGTTAGATTTAGACCAGGAAGACCCGTGTTGAGATCTTCTTCTGCTCTGCACCGGCTTTTACTGGCAGTGCAATCTTTTAATTTTTTTTTAAATTCAAAAACAAACAAAATTGCATAAGATACATTGCCAATCTATATCCCCTTGCGTCCTGCCTCCATGGGCACAGAAACCCCTTCACCAGCAACTGACCATTTTAATACTATTTCCAATTATACAATTGACTGACAAAAGGCCCCACTCTGTGGTAGGGTCTGGACTTATAGCCTCGGTGCTTAATTTCCTAGACTCAGGATAGCCTCTGGGGAGCACAGTTGAAAGCACAGGAGCAGGCCTCCCCCTCCCCCTGCTCTGATCACCAGCCTCAAAGAAATAGCAGGGCGCCTCAGATCATTAACACTGGGCTTAGGAAGAGCCTTGGGCTTTGACCTATATTTTGTTGACCCTTTCATGCCTGCTGGTGGTGTTTGGGTTTTTAATGTGGTGATAGCAAGGAATGGGATCTGGGGAAATTATTTTAATCCCTGATCAAAGCGTACCTCCTGCTCTTCTGTTTCTCTTCTCTCTTCCTTCAGCAAATACACAGACACTCCAGGGGCCCTGTGAGATTTCCCAGACAGCCTGCTTTCATTCCCACCCTCTTGTCTTACCTGCTCAAAAGGGCCTTCACACTTTTAATGTTTACACATACCTTCCCCTCCCTATTCCAGGTTCTGTTCCTTTGGTAATTTCATTTTCAGCCACTTAAACCAGGCAACATCAGCATGCCCCCTTCCATGGAAATGTGTTCCCCTCAGTTAGGCCCATTACATGCTTCAACAGAAATATTGTGGTTATCCTGTATTATATAGAGCATGCTATTGGGGGGGGGGAGCTTTATTCTTTTGTCAGAGTACAGAATAAATTACTCTGAATTCTAGAACGGTTCCAATTCCTCCTTGACTCTTCTAATGAACTTGTTGTAGTTCTGATGCAAAGCACATCTACTTCGCTCTCTTGAGTGGAGAAGAAGGGCTTCTGTGGAACTATCAGTGTGTAGCTGATAAGGAATTGACTAACTTGGCATTCTTAAGGGATGAACTGATTTATCTGCCCTCTTTTTTTTGTCTCCCAGGTGACTCGTGTGCCAGTGGAGAGCTGTGAGCAATATACAACCTGTGCGTTGTGCCTGGGCTCCAGGGACCCTCACTGTGGCTGGTGTGTTTTACACAACATGTGAGTATGTGCACTGCCTATCTTGGATCTCTTCATAGACAAAAACACCCCCCCCCCCAATTTATGGGAACTGAATTAACAGCTGGGCTTATAATTCCATCTACTGATATTACTATTTTTTTGTGTGTGTCAGTAGTATACTAGGCATTGTGCAGAACAACAGCAACAAAAATCGATGTAGTGCCTACCCAGAAGGCACCAGGTCTGCCTAACTGGACAAAATGAGGATTGGGGAGAGACCGGGGTGTGAAAATTAGGAGATGTGGGAGAGGCGAGAAAGTGTAGGAGTAGGTAAAGGGAGGCTAGGTTGCTTCAGGAAAATATATTCACTAAAGTTCTGGACTTAAAGGAAAAGAGAGATGTGGCTTGTCCACTAGAAAGGCAGTATGTACATATTCTAATAAATACACAAATTTGAATTTAAAAAGGAGAGGATAATAGCAGCATTGCACAGGGCACATGCCTTGGATCATAAGCAGCGTGAGCAGAGCTGTTCTAGAGGAAGGCCGCTTCCCCACCTCTCCCCTCCCACTGCAGCCTTCTCTGCTTCCCCAGCCCCCCAGAAATGGTGTGTGAGGCAAAGTGAGGCTTTGCAGTGGGGGGGGGGGGAGGGAGAATGGAAATTGCCCTCTCCTGCTCTGCTAAGGGAAATACCATGCTGTTGATGGAACTCTTGCTATACCACCAGAATGGCAATTTAGGGCCCAAACCAATGCTGCGAACAAGCAAAGGTAACAGTGGGGCTAACACAAGGTGAGCTTGTGAGGGGTCTCTGAAGATGTCCAGATCTTGCCTATTCCATGAACTTAGTAGGTGGCCTTAGAGAAGCTACTCTTAGGACCAAATAAAAGCCCGTATAGATCCGACCAGTGGCCCCCTCTAGTGCAGCATTCATTAAAAAAGGGGGGGGGGGCAAAAAAGAGGGCACAGAAACCTAGGCCTTCCACAGTGTTGCTTTCTGGTACTGATATTTAAAAGTGCTTCTGAATGTGGAGGTTTCCTTTAGCCACCCTGGCTAGTCGTCACTGGAGGATCGATCCTCCATGAAGCTGTCTAACCCCCTTTTAAAGCATTACTAATGTCACAGATCTCAGTTCATCCAAAAGACAAAGGGCAAGCACCTGCAAGCCTCTTGTGTGTGTGTGTGTGTGTGTGTGTGTGTGTGTGTGTGTGGAGTTAACCCTTCCCACTGCTTGGTTTCACTGAATGAAATTGCCCACTCTCTGGTCATTAGCATTTCAAAGGGAAAAGATGGAGCCTTGGGGTGTGCTAAGAACAGTGAGTCCTGGGGAGGATGGGGATCTTTTGCTTAGCACAACCAGCAGGGTTTCAAGGATTAAGCCCCTTCTCTCCTCACTGTATGATCCCAACCTGTTCTGGGGCCCTGTGTGCTTGCATGCTTTGACCAGGCTCGTAGCCAGGATTTTTAAATTCAGGGGGCACCCCGCGCAGACACCCCCCAAAGGAGCACCACAAATAAAATTAAAAACTGGAAGTTGGGGGGGCCCTTAGCAGTAAGTCGGGGAGGCTGAGCCCCAAGATGCCCCACTGTAGCTACGGGCCTGGCTTTGACAGAGGAATGGAGATCCATGTCTGCTCTTTGCCTTAGTATCAGCCTCTGCTCCCCCATCTGCAAAACACAAATCATAATACTTACTTGCCTCGCGGGATACAGTGCTAATGTGCATGAAGCACTTTGAACATTTAAAAGGCATTACATCCTTTTTATGATGATGTTTATATGATAAAGGTGATATAGGCATAACATAGGGTGTAGTCACACTGGCAGCTTGGTGCGATATGGCACCACTTCTGATTGTACTGGTGTAAAATGTAGTGGGGCATATCATCCAGACAGCACACCCTGCTGCGGGTTACCAACGCGGACATCCTGTGGTCAAGCATCCACATTACTACAGCGCCCTAGCCATGGAGCATGCTACCTGGTTGTTTTTAAAATGCAGGTGGGTGCATATGCATGCATGCACGCACTTATGTGCTCATGCGCGTGCATATGCGCTCATGCACGCACGTATAGGAAAAATGCCAAAAACCGCACCCTTCCAGCGGGAACAGATCAGCGGGTTCAGACCGTCAGTCTGTTCTGCGCACGCTCCTCCATGTTCAGACATCCAGCCATGTGCAGTTAATGCACGAGGAACCGAAAACACCACTTGTGATGTGGTGCCTTTTTAACCCAGCTCCAAGTCATCCTACAACGGGGTGAGTATGCCTGGGGAAGGCCTGACAGATGTGGCTGTGTGACTGCGCCCATTTGATCTGGAGGGGAGGGGTGGCTACGTCGGCCAAACTGCTTCTGTGATCACACCCATAGTTCCTAAAACTAGTATCTGGGAGACCGAGGTTTGAATTTCCACTGTGCCATGGAAACTTGCTGGGTGACCTTGTACCAATCACCACACTCTCAGTCTAACTACCTCAGAGGGTTGTTTTGTGGATAAAATTGTGGAGAAGAGAACAATATAAGCTGCTTTGAGGAGAAAGGTGGTTCTAAATGAAGTAAATAAATAAATACAGGTAGGCAATTTCTTAGTCTGCATTGAGACATCCATTTTAACCATGGTTAAATTAAAAAAAGTGTGTGAACGCAGTTTGTGTTGTGCCTGGTTCCTCTGTCTTCCCAGGACTCCTTAAGCAGAGTGTGTACCTGGGAATCTCAGTGAACGGCAGGAAAATAACTGCCGTTCAGCTGTTCACCTGCTTTTTGGCACATCATGGATTTCTGGAGTCTTTTTCTAACCAGAATTCCTTCATTGTGCTCTGTGAAAAAAGGCAGGGGGCAAAGGGAGGAGCCAGGTGCATGAGTCATTAACCTACTTTTATTTTAACGGTGGTTAAATTGGATGACTAAATGCATCCTCCATAGGAAATGTTACACCATTATGTGTTACATTTGGCATGAGCATTCATTTTGCCATGACATTTCTATCTGAATTAACTTCCCAGCCTGTGTCATAAATATTTATACCAGATTTCACACATGATGGAGTATGTGTTCAGTGTAGGATAAAGTGTCATGTCTGGTGTGGCGCATGCTCAGAGGTCGAGTGCCTTACAGATGAGGACTAGAAACCCGGCCCTCATGGAGATGGTCACGGAAAGTCTGATCATCACCACAGCCGGAAGCAATGTAAATAGATGCGTGATGTCATTTGAAACTCTCCTATGATGATCCATTTCTGGGACAACATACAGATTGGTCCCGACTCTCCTTCCTGACCAGCTACTACTGGTCTTCTGAACAGCCCCCTTCTCCTTAGCCTGCAGCTGCCTATGCCTTTGAAATCCCCATCAGAGAGGCCCTGCTGGCCAATTAGCCGCTTTGATTTGGTGGCTAGTTCAGATGCTCCTGCCAAGGTCCCTTGTGCATATTCAACCCTCGAGCTGCTCTCATGCCTTGGAGAAGGGGAAAATAATCCAGCTCAGCAGATTTGCTTCTGACCTTTCCCCATGACAAACAGCTCTGTCCAATGCAGCTGCCGGCATGCTTCCTTATCCTGCTGAGTTGCAATTGGCGTGAATGTGGAACTGGCACCCTGGGAGAGGGCAGGCGGGTGGGAATAGCATTGGGAGAGGGGAGGGGGAATAGTCTTCATCGGTTTGCATCAAGCAGGAAGAAGCGGGATCTGTCTGTCTCTAGGGAGCATTCTTAGCCTAGCCTTGTCCCTGAGTTTTGTGCTGCGGAGCTGATTGATGGGCAGACTGCGCTTTCAGCTGTCTGGTGCACAGGGGGATTCTGAATGTCAAATGTGTGGGGTGGCTGAGGACTGGAAATGTGGCTTCTTTTCCTGAGAAAGCACCAGGAATTGTTTCCCTGCAACCGGAGATTGACACAGGCCACATGCCCAAAAGAGTAGCTGGCAACACTGGAGCCAATTGCCTACCATTATATGAGAGATGGCAGCTTCTGAATGGTAGTATTTTTAGTTCTGTGATCTACTCTCTGAGTCCATGGAATAGGGTGAAAGGAGAGAGAGAAAATAAAGGCCAGTAATACTGATATTGGAGAACTAGAGTCTGTCAGCCTTTGGATTATGAAGCCTTTTATTGCCGTCTTGCCTGTACTTCAAAGAGAACTTACTCAACTCCCTTTGCAAACCCAGTCCCATTTCTTGATCTAGGTTTGTGGCAGTCAAATTACAGTCGTTTTTAGTGCCCTGAATAGAGTGGGGAATTACAAGCAACAGAATTTCACTTGGAAGGGGCAAATGGGATGCACAGGGTAGTCTCAGATGAATCAGTACCTGAGTGAGTTTAGTCTTCTGCGATGAAATAGGAACATAGTCTGGGTCAGGCACTGTTTCACTTCCAATCCGAGCAGACCCCTCCAAAGCAAACAGACAGGGATGGAGATTGGAATTCAAGGTCATAGTAGCCAAGGAGAGCTGCTTGTAGAATTGACTTAGAACTGCTGGGAGTCACTGACTAATCAAGAAGTGAACCAGTCTGCTGCTTCTGATTAGAACTCCTGAACCTGTAATGCATTCTAGTAACGGCACCTGTTTGGGAGCTACAGCTGATGGAGGATGGCCAGGGTATAGAGTCCATTAGTGTGTAATGGACTGAGTCAGTCCCTGCTGGACCAGCTGTTTGTTGCTTTCTTTGTTATAACGGGTAAACGGCCTGGACCTAACAAGTCTTAGGGAATGCTTGTTTCCATGGGAACCTCCCCGGTGACTGAGATCTCAGACAGTGCTCCTCAGAGTTTCATAGTCATGGGAGGTTGGTTGTATGGATGCCCGGAGCAGGGTTTTCTGGGTCATTGGGGGATTTATTTATATTTATTTATTTTGGGATTTATATCCCGCCCTACCCATACGGCCCAGGGCGGCAAACAAGCGGCAACGCCGGAAATAAAACATAGATTACATTAAAACCTCAATAAATACAAACTAAAATAGTACTGTTATTTGCCTTCTAGAGAGGCAGACCAGGCTACTTTCCCCTTTAGTCATGAGGTGACACCCTTTTAATTCAGC